ACGGGCTAAATCAAGGGGATACTTTAGACGGGTAATCCTCCGGTGGTCGTTGTTTTAGAACCCCCATCCCCTATACTACTGGAGGAGAGGTTACATCGGTTYAGGCTAGGTCGAGGCGATAACATTTGAGTGTATACTTTGAATTTCAAATTAGTGGATTCCGGATTCCAAAAGAGTCGATTTTGGATTCCATTATGAACTGGATTCCGGATTCCAAGGCCTGGATTCAGGATTCAAAAGTCTAACATTTCGTGGTTTTGTCTACAAGGTCCGGTGGATCCAGTAATTCTTGAGAGGAGAAAGGGGATTGCAAACGTATAGGTTCCGAACAATTTTTGACGTTTTACCTTTGAATTATGCCTATTTTCATTGTTTATTTTATTTAATCATTCATAATCATAAAAGAAACAGTACGAACCTGTGGCAAAATTAAATTCTTCAAAAAAGCAATCAAATGATAGTTTTAATTTTATTTTTACTTTTTGTCGTTCAATAACGTCTTCCTGTTTTACAAGCTTAAACCATATATCCTAACGTTCATATACCCCAAATATAGGTAAAAGATCGTAAGCCAAACCTGATCTTTGACTCTTGAAATATATAAAAAAAGTTTTTAACAAATGGCAGTCTTATTTGTTTCTTTTTTATGGTCAAACCTTGAATACGGTAAAATTTTGCTTAACAGTTATTGAAACTCTTTTCTTGATATATGCACCCTTTATGTAACGTTCCATACACTTTCAGCACTAGAAAACGGTCATGTTCTTGTCACAGGCAAGGTGACTGTGTTACACGAAATAAAAGACCAATTATCTTTCTTAGTTTCTTTCAGTTGTTGACTAATGATAAATGACATTTCATGAAAAAATCTCTTAGTAAAATAATAATATGCAATATTTCAAAAAGTCTACTAAATTAAAATCTCAGTTCGACCTTTGGCAAAAAGTACCTTTCCAATCGAATTTTTTCAGGTACTTTAACAAAATAACTTTTCAAATTCACCAAACTTCCTTAAGATATTTCGTTCAGTGMATATTTTGCCATCTCCGCTTGTCATGTCCAGTAAATTGAAAACGTCAACGTCACTGCCCATTCCTACAGCGTAAATTTCAACACCTTTTGATTTCAGACCACTTGAAGCTTCGGAAAGACTCAAAAATGGGCCCCTGTCCTTTGTTTGGATGCCATCTGTTATGACAATAGCAAGCTTAAAGATGAGACAAAGAAAGGAAATGCCATGAGTATACATAAAATTTAAAAAATATTTAATTGTAAGTTTGTTTATGCACAGCATTAATTTGACTAAATAAGTATAAAACAGAAGAAGAAGACGACGAAGAATAAGAGTAGAAGGGGGAAAATAAGAAAATAATAATAATTAATAATAATAATAATTATTATTATTATTATTATATTGCTCATGATGCTGATGATGTTGAATGATGATGTTGATACTGAATGCTAATGATGATGTTCAAGCTGATGATGATGATGTCCAAGATAATGATACAATGATGACGATAATGATGATGGTGATGATGGAATGGAGGAGGAGGAGTGGAAGATCAACATTAAAAAGTTAAAGAAATAACACAAGAGGTGATGATTGTGTATAAATGAATGACAAATTAATTCTTCATCTTACCTTCCTGGCTTTCTTTCTCATACCAGCCTCGACAGTAAACACTTCTTTCTCTGCTGCAAGAAGTGCTCTATCAATAAATGTATAGCCTTTTCTTTTCTTTAAACCATCGATGTCACCATTGATCTTTTCACGGCTGAGATCTGATCCGCTGTATTTGTTGAACTTCATATCAATTTGTGGTTCGGTGCTGAAGGTCATGACAGCAAAGTGATTACCGTCCTCAGATGCACCAAATACATCCACGAAATTCTCACAAATACGTAACGCATTCTTCCAGGTATATTTGCCAATGCTACCACTAGCATCTAGTATGAAGGCTACGTCCATTCCATCGGAGCAACGATCTTTGGGGATAGTAAAATACAGTATATTTATACCCATTTTGAATGTAACGCGACCAATGGACCAACAAAGCACAAGACATCGAAGAATTTGGCTTCCGTCCATCATATTCTTAACAACGTTAAGTTTTTTTTCGATTGAAGGAAGTCAAAAGAAAATGCCAGCTGAGGCTTTGTTGGTCACCTAATTGTAAAAATGGGTGTAATTATGCAAACGAGTGTCGACATATATCATGTGCTTTATATATTAAAAATAAATAATAATGAATATATTTTTATAGCGCACATGTCTAAGATTCAAGGCGCTTTACAAATAATAAGAATGACTTAATAAAGCAACTATTATATATATACTGATAAAAAAATTTAAAATCAAATCCCGTTCAAGACTCTTTTTTCTGAGTCTTTCAATTTGCAGCTGCATAAGTTGTTTCACATACTGCGAGGATCAGCTCAATTTAATACATAACAACCGCAGCACAAATATACATTTCATATATATTCTCATGCACATACTGATAAAAATAATACTTAAAAAGGATGACCTAGCTAGATGAGTATGTTAGCTATAAAAGAATAAGGAAAATGAGGTGTACTAATAATTAGAAATAATAATAAATAACAATAAAAGATGACAGCCACAGTGATCGCCACAGTCCAGTTAAGTACTTAAAGGGCGTAAGCCTTCTTAAAAAGGAAAGATTTTCAGTCTTAATGGGCTGAAACATTTACTATAGTAACTTTCTTTCCTAATGTTAATTTCCTAAATATATTCTACATGACATCAGTTGGTATTTTGTTTTTCATTTTAATAAAACACCATTGAATGTTTGTTGGCCTTGTTTTGAGAAACCTTGAATTTTATATAGAAACTGCAGGGCCGTAATTAGGGGGGGCACAGGGTGCACGTGCAGTCCCCCAGACCCCCCCCCCCCCCCCCCCCCCCCCCCCCCCCCAAAACTTAAGGTCCGTTCATCTATCTCCTTTTGCTTTAATTGCATGTAAATGTTTTTGTTGATTTAAGGAAAACCACTTTCCATCTGCATATTGTAGCATTTTTAAGAATCACGCACCCATTACCCTTTTTTTCCTCTTTTTTCATTTTTTTGGTTCTGCTATTTTTTTGGTTACCTTTTTTTCAGCTCTGCAAATCATTGCCTGTGCACNCTATTTTTTTATTTTTTTATTTTTTTTTTACTTTTGGTTCTGCAAATCATTGCCTGTGCACCTCCCCTGTAAGATATCTGGTTACCCCCTGAATTGAAATAACCTCTGAACCCATAGCTATAATCATACAAATCAAAAAGTGAGAAATCTAAAAAAGCCGCTTTAGGGGGAAAGCATTTTAAAAGAAATTAAAATTGATGTGGACAAGTGTACTATCCATTGAGCTAAAAAGTACTTTTAACATCTTTTCCTGTCATTGTAATTCCATAAGGTATAAAAGTTATACCAAAAAATATATTATTTTATAAACATGGGAACTCTGTGTCTGCGAGTCGTACGCTAAAATTTGGTTTTTCGCTGCCGTCAAGCAAACCTAATCAGTCAATACCTTTCATATTTTTGACTGGCGGCAGCGAAAAAAAATTCAGCGTGCCGCTCGCAGACAGCTCACAGACAAAGAGTTCGCATGTTTATGAAAATTTCATTAAAACTGAGTAACTTAGTGAAAAATGCGAAACCCCTGAAGTTACTAACCTTTGGGCTCGGCCGATCCTGGGAAAGCATCGTTGATGAGGCACAACGCAATGAACGTAACAAACAGTCTGACCATGATTCAAGCAGTATTCAGTCACACCTGAGGATACTTTGAGCAATATAAAGGTGCAATACTTCACAGCTGAAGTTTTCTTCTGTTTTCTTCGGATCGTTCTGTACTGATCTGAATACACAGCCAAATCTCCTGCCTTTTATTAGGTTCCATTATGCTGTTTCGGAACTTCATCTGATCTCTGACGGCAGGCGTCGTACTGTAGAATTTGACTATTGTACTAAAGTTGAAACGTTCCTTATCCATTATGACAGCACAAAGGATAAACCACCAATGTCCCTGCAATTGTAATGTAGCAGCAATATGAAATCGTTTTCTGGCACAAGCCAACATAATCTTTGCTGAACGGAACTTTATAGAATTAGCCTTTCCGTCCGTAATCAGAAATGCATGCTTTCATTTGGAAGCAAACACTGGTTTTATTTTATATCTTTCTTTATGATTCGATCCCTTGTAAGCCTTATATGCTTGAAGTGTTGTACGTAATGTATGTTTCAATTCCAAAGGCCTTCTTCGGTTGTTGTGAATGTCCCACGCTGTAAATTAGCAGCCAAAGCTTAATATATATTTTTTTAATTAGCAAAAAAGCTGAGCCTAGAACGAAATTACCTCTTGCTCCATTTTGACATTGAGTTTGTACTATGGCGAAGTCCACCCGAAGTCCGAACACCTATCCTAAGTCCTAAGTCCGAAATATACTGAAGTCTGAAATGTCCCTCCAGGGCTTCCGTACTACTGGTTTGCCTGTGACTTTTTTTTTTTAAATCCAATTTATTGAAAAAAAATTGCCCATACATTTGGAATATTTGCTCTTTTCGGTCTTTTTCCTCTCTTTCCAAAGCAAAAGGTTGTTCTTAAAAGTAAAGTTATATAGCACAAGTAAACTGCGTGACACACCATCCTAAATGACCCTGTAAATCTTCTGTTCTTCGCGAACTACTGTAGTTAGCGTGTTTTCGAGG